ACAGCCAATGTGTTTCTAAGATTACTTATAAGCGATTAATTCAAACTTAATTGTGCAAATGTGTTTATTACTGACCTTTTATTGATAGGGTGAAATTAAATAATAGTTGCATAGAAGAATTAATTGAGAACGAAAATAATTGTTTTGTAGTACAAACTATTTCATATTCATATTAATTATTGTCGATGCATTAACTATTTCAAAACATTCCTTGGAGTTTTACTAACGTACACTAGTAAACTTACCAATATTTGCATCCATTAACTAGCAAAACATAAATGATAGTCTACTACATCACTCAACAATTTATAGGTTAGGATTTCAACAGTCAAACATGTCGTCACAATTTTATTAAAACGTCCAGTAACAGCTGATCTTCGGACAGCTGATTTTACAGTCATTGTTACCAGCTTGTACTCACGTGTTATAAACCTATTGGTTTAACAGTCTGACATGTAAGAAATGAAAGTGTAAAATGTTATAAAATGATTTATTGCACCAAAAATACATAAACTACATTTGACCAAGTAACTTTGTAGATTTAGAAACATGTCACAACATGGTTTACAACAAAATTGGTTTGTGAAACAATACATTTGATTAGTCAATTGAAAATAAGCAAAACTGTATGCAACTATCAACAACCATTTACATTTATATATTTTGATTGATTCTTAAGGAGTAGATAACACAAAACTGTACATACCCTAGTGTACATGGATATATATTTTGAGAAGGCAAAATCTTTTCCAATGGGTAAGGAGGAGGTTTTAGACAAGTGGGTAAAGGTCAAAGCTCATAAGAGTTTTAGATCAAAATCTAATTTATCTTAAGCCTAGGTAACGTTTAGATAAGGCCTTTAACAAGTTGAAACTGGGATATAACTGTTTACACAAATAGACAATATTTTAGTTAATTTTAATCAGAAAGGTGGAACCAACTGTTTTACATTCACACATATACTCTCTTACACAATTGGATAAAAAATCAAAAGTAGTAATTTTGGTTCAAAAATTCACAATTGAATGAAACAATCATGTATAATATTTGAATAGGGTTGAGTTGTAAGGAAAACAAAGGAATAATAGGGACTGCAAAATTTAGACATAATTTAATATAGGAACAAAAATACTTAGAGAATCAAAATGAAAATAAAATAATAATGAAAGTTTGGATGGTAAAAGCTTTTGTATACTAACATTATAGTTATTTCAAGATACTTTCATGTACTGTAAGAATTTTATCAGTGCAGAAAGTCATTTAACTTTACAGACATTGTTTTACAGCTGTTTAGGTATGGCAAATAAAACTCTTGGACACTATCAGTTACATCATATTTACATTGGAAAATCATCTTTGGTTTTGATGGACAACTTTTACTAGGATGCTGATTTATAGTTTAAACTGATGTATTGATTTATTTATAAAAATTCCAAGGTCTTATTTTGTGGGAAGTTAACATAGGGATCATCTTACATTTTACTATAAAACAAAAAACCCTAAATTTTATTTCTACAGCATGTTTATTAATACTAGACTTACATACTTATACATTACAGGATCAGGGGTTGAACCACAATGTTTACAATAGTTTTCTATAAATACTCAAGGAAACCACATGTAACTACTATTCATTTGTTCAATTGTAAAGTAAAGCAAAATTAATCTTTTCAATATAAATTACCATTTAGTAAAGCTGTTAATTATTACTAGTTTACATATGTACATTTATGAAAAGTCAATAAATTAGATGAAAGGAAAAAATAAGCATTCTGTAGGTTTAAATTTATTGAAAAATCTTATTGTCACAAACAATTTTGGAGTAAAATATTGTTGTAGATGTTGAAGTTGTGTTTTGTGTATAATGTGGCAATTTTTGGACTTAACATGTACAATATAGTTAGTTTTGGTTTTGGTCTCCTATTCAATTAAAAGTATTAAGAATATATAGTGTATAGGAAATATTCAGGATAAGATCAAATCTTATTTGTCCCTTGAACAATTCTGGAGTGCTATACTAATGAGTTGCATGCGTTATTTTTGAAAATATTTTGCAATTTTTGTGTTTATTATTGGCCTATATTTATGGTTTTGCTATGAGAACAGCCAAAACTAACTGTCTATAGTAGTTACCATGTTAACCCAATGCTAGAAAGCAAAGACTAATGATAATCAATTGCTAGACAATTAAAATACTCATCCTCCAGAGTTGAACCAGTAACATTCATATTTGAAGGTAAGCAATAAGCCAAGCTGCTACCCTGTATCATAAAAAACAACTCAATTTTATTTTATTCCTGAAACTGTCCATTATTATTTCCTATTTTTATTAATCTCTGATGTTTAGCAAGTTGATTAGATGCTCAAATATTCTGCAATTTTTCACATAGTATTGAAATAATTTGTCTATTCTCTGCATGTTCCTGATTTGGTATATGAATTAATTGTTATTTTTTAGATCTTGAATTACATTAAATCAATGAATCCAATAAAACATTACTTAAAACAGCGGCTTATAAAAACCAATTTGAATTTGTAATAATAAATTAATACTTTTAAAGTCCCACTTTTGAATGTTTCTTTAATGTGTGATTTAAGTGCACACGTAAACGATTTGTTGGAAAATGCACAATATATCTATGTTATTTATATTTTTACATCTTTAAAACATAAAATAAATACATGAAACCTAAAAGTAATGGCAGTGATACATATGAAATCGAGTCATCACCTGTTATTTTAATAAATTTGTCACCGTATTTTTGCAGTTCATAAAATTTACATCATAAAGTAATAAGTTGTATGTCTGAAAATGTAATTTAACATAAATTTCTGAACCTAACCTATTATACAGTAGTAACAATAGTTGTTCTATCAACATGAATGGAGTTTAATAAATAAGTGTAACAATTTTCTTAACTTCCAATGCGCAGCATAGAAGCATTTAACTATTGCAATGCTAGCCCTCAAGCCAACAGTAATACCTATTCTTCAACAAAGTTCTGCTCCTTGCTGATAATTATTACAGATTCTAAAATCACACCACACACTACGGTCTACCGTTCAAAATGCATTAGTTTAAAAAATATAAAAAACAAAATATGCATACAATTTTAAAATAAAATAAATATGGAACAAAAGATAATACCTGTAAAAGATGGGACTATATTTAAACAACATACAGATAGGAAATATTTCAAATAACTTAAAAAACTTGACCATGTTTTTACTATATGTTAACACTAAGTGAATTGAAAGTGAAAATAATAAAAAGTACCTCAATATTCTGGTAGATAATTTATTAATTGTATATTATTTTTAGATCTGATATAACTGACAAACTTTCAACTCGATTTTTTTGCACTTGTGTACATCATATACATCGCAGTAGGATTCATAATATTTATTTATACAAATAACTACCCAAAAAATCTTTAATTAAAATGTTCACAAATACTGGTAGAGTTAAATGCAAACAATATCCATTTTGCTTGTCCCTAAAACACTCAAATTTATTACTATCCTTAACAATATCGCATCCACCCCCAAGACAATATGGAGGGTAAAAATCAACAATATTGCTTTAACTTAAACTAAACAACATTAGCTAATAAATCTTTTTCAGGTTAACAACACTGGATAAATCTAGTTAAGCGTAGGAAGAGTCACTGGGTATTTGGGGGTCTCAATCCTGACAATATTTTTGCTATTTACTACACTTAGAAAATATATAATTATACTTTAAAAACAGTGGCACTAGGATAGACTGGAAATATTTGTCAAATTTGACAATTGTACAACCACTTGAAGAAATGAGAAATAATAGATGGGAATACGAGGATTGGTACTAAAAAAAATGTAATTGTAAAAAAATGGTAATGGGAGAGAACCAATGGCATGCAACCACTGAAAGAAAGTCAGATATTAGTTGTTCATCTTGTTTTGGTTACCTTAACCCTTTGCAATCAAATGGCGAGTATAGGTCGGCGCCCGCCATTTCCCCGACTGCTCAAAAATGGCGACCTAACTTATACTAAAAAAATCAAAAAAGTTTATCTTTGCGGTCGAATGGCGAGTATAGGTCGCCGGGCGCCATTTTTCCGATTGCTCAAATGGCGACCTATACTCGCCGAAAAATGAAAAAAATTCGACTTCAAAGGGTTAAACGAGGATTAGTTGAATTTTTTATATGTCGTTCCACAAAGGAGTAAGGTCCAGACAAAACTTGCTTATGGGATGACCGTGCACGTTCAGCTTTTGTATATTGTGCAGAAAATATACTTGAAACAAGCAAGGAATAGCAGCCGCTGTGCGGAAATTCCTATCGCACAGGGTCTTCTTCCAATGTGAGTGTTGTAGTACATGATTTTGAGGGAGGTGGTGTTAGACTTTGCCCTAGACACCAGCAACTAGTGCTAGACACCACTTAAGTGAACCATTGAATGTTTCCTCTGTATCTCACTTCTTTGTGATTGGACCAATGAATAAATATGTCGAAAAAATACCAATCATCGAGGTAAATAATGAAGTATTTAAAAAGCTAAGGTTATGATTCAATATAACATTTTGTACTTAGTGCTCCTGAAGTACAAAATGTAAAAAGTATGAAATTACAAGATTTCATCGAAATCTGAGCTTCTTAGGAACACTGACTTCAGCATACCAACTGTGATCCTTGAAATTAGGGTAAAATGGAATAGCCTTCTCAAAAAAGTGTTGACGTTGACATTAATTGCTATAAGCTTGAAAATCAACTGGACTGAAACCCCTCTGCACTCGATAGATCCTGACACACTTCAATAATTTCTGTGATAACCATTAGGTGAGTGGAATCTTAACAAGTCTGTAGGATGAAAGGGAAAACTCTCTTAGAGGAATGGCTGTGAATCTATAAAATGAACTTTGACAACTGCTTTGTTAAAAATATAATACTTTTTACATAGCTGTTGGCATTTACAATTTTTTTAAGGTATGAACCCTGTCTTAGTGGTCTTTTTACCGTACTACTCTTTTGTTGGACACAATTATTAATTTAAATACAGCCAATTGACAAATTACATCTGGACGGACAATCCCAGATGAGAGTGAAGTATGAACTTTCAGATGTTTAAACAATGCATAATTTTTTCCAACCATTTGTTTCACCAATCTTCTATTCCCTGTTAAGATTCCAAACACCCAAAGACATCACTTCACCCTCTGCTATACTTCACTCCTGTCAGCTGTTAGCCTCCTGTAAGTTTACGAGGTCCTGTAGGCACAGTGAGCGCCGTCCGATCCCTGGGTTTCGTGACACTCACAACTACACTCTTCAGGGTTTACGTAGCTGTAGACAACTCCAGATGCGGAAGGTAAGGTAGTGATGCGCTTAGGCGTCCGTCGCCTCTCAGGCACCTCGTCAAAACACACCCACGCGCGAGGCGGCAGCGGTGGTGGCGAGGGGGAGGAAACGTGTCTCAACTCGCGTGGACTCTGGAGTCCCTGCTCGGCAAAGTGTGTCCACGGTTTAGCTCCTGGCTTGTGAGGACTTTTCGATCTCTCCCTCAATGATTCTTTTCTATAAATTAGTAATATTATTAAACAGGATGATATTGGTAAAGAAGGATGAATTAAAACGAACATCATAAACTATTTCTGAGAAGTTAGTAGTTTTTTGATGCAATATATGGCTTGAAGCTGGAGAATACATAAAACATTCTTATGTTATATAAACTTACTAGATAAAATATTAGATTTTGCAAAAATGTGAAAAGAAGAAATTTGTTTTTCACATCTTGCTTACCCAAGATTTTCCACTAGCTAGGATTCTGGAAGTATAATAATTGTTTATTCATTTTTTGCGGTACCCTATGTATGTTTTGATATGTGGAAACAGCTTTAAAATTTAATTTGATAAAATTCCTACTATATGTTTACTAAATGCTTTCTGTGCAGGGTGTCGCGTAAGTAAACAGCCAACCTGCAGGAAATAAATTTGTATTTTCTGTTTATTTTGACCCATAGAACTATTTTTCGGATTTGAGGCTGTTTACTTACAGAACACCCTGTATATTGTAGAGCTTCTCCACAAGAGTCACACAAACCTTGGCAGAACTATTTGCATCTTCTCCCTGGATGAGGTAGAAGGGTCCTCGTGAGGGCTGGAGACATACTCGTCAAGCTTGGACGGGTCGATTGGTGTCGTGGACCTCGGCCGATCTATGGGACAAGTTCTGACCGCCTCGGGCACTCGCTGCTTCACAGGGATGATGGGATGGGCCACTGATCTGTAAGGGAATACAAAAAGTTTTGAATTGAATCAGTGCTGGATTTAAGGATACTCCCGGCCCAAATTACTTGAGCGGGGCTCCCCTTTGGAAATTCCCTGCGATAGCGGGGAAATCGTGAAAATCTCCCGCAATCACAAGGAAATCATAATATTCACCCACTATCACGGAGAAATCGTGAACACTTACTATATATTAAGGTAATATCGTCACCCACACCCGTGACTGTGGCTAGCTCAAGAAACATCTACCGCGGTCCGCAATCTCGGGTACATCATTGTCGTCATCTGCGATCACGCCAAACTGATGGCATAAACAAATTTAAAAAAACCCTTTGTTCTGAAAAAAAAGTTTTTTTATCCTCTACGGGCCCACTCCCTGTCTGCTTCCTTGCCTAGGAAAAACCTTCTTTACAAAAACTAAGTTTAAATATAATTTTAGGCAGTAGCACTCTATGAGAGGCTGATGCAACTTTAACTGTTTTCAATTCTTTTTTAATGGCTACAACTCTTCACATAGATGGTAAGTTTACTGTAGTGCCCAAATCAATATATCCAAATCAATATCAGGTATCCAAATCAATGAATCTACCACTTACCTCTCCTGAGGCAGAGTTGTAGGCACGTAAGGCAGCTCCTCCTCCGTAGACTCTTGCTGCAGGAACAATCCCTTTCGCTCATGTTCGTCGTCTGCCGCTGGAGCTATCGGTACAGCATCTGAGTCAGGTTCAGACTCGGAACTCACTCCAGTCCGGTCCGACTCCTGCTTCTCCAGCTGTGTCTTCACACTTCCCCCGCTCGTCTCGGACTTCGGGCTAACATCTGCGTCCAAACTCGATCTAGGAGTCACCTCCAATTCTTGTTTTACTTTGACAACTTCTTTTATACTTGTAACCGAACTTGATGTATCTTCTAATATTGTTTCTTGTAGTTTTTCAATCTCTTGTTTTATTTTAATGTCCAACCTCTCCTCGGTTTCACGATTGATTGGTTTGGTTTCAATTTTTATTTCGCATGTTTCTTCTTTTGTCAGTGTTATAATTTCGATTTGTGCTTCCTCTGAAGCGGTCTTTTCGGGTGATGGGTCTTGTCTTTTCTTTCTTGCTGAGGAACTGGTTGGCGTAGGCACTGGAGATTCTATTGGTTGGGACTTAAGTTCTTCTGTGTTGGTGGAAACAAAAACAATAAGTTAAATTAATTATTTGATTTAAAATATGTAAAAAATCTCAAGTTAAAAACATTCTTCAGAATGATATATTATTAATAAATACCATGTAAATAAACCTCAATGAGGATAATTTCTTTTTACTAACCAAACTAATATCCTTTATTTGTTTGACTACCTAATTAAAACAATTTACATAATATGGACTGATCTTCTCTATAAAATGGCTTACCAGGTTCTTGGAATTATTGTACTATATTTTTGTTATTCATCCCAACTACCATAAAGTTAACTAGTGTAACCCACAAAAATATGATTGTGCAAATCTATCTACAGTCTTAGGAACTCTGACAACAATTTTCTTTGAAGTAGAATTTAATGTTTGGTTCTGCCAATCTGCCAATAGTTAATTTGATCATGACTGGAGAATAGAGTTTTATTTTGGGTAAAACATTAATTTCATTGCAATGTTCTTTGCAAAGGCCTGAAGCTCTTATGGATGAGGAATAGGGGAGTTTTTTTAGGTGGGAAAGGACACATTTTAAAATATATACTACCCACACAAATCAGTCCCAAAGAAAGTATTCTAGGTTTTAGTATGTATAAACTCGAGGATATAACAAAAACTCTAAAACTTTAAAATATTGATGGTTCAGTCCATGAAATTACCACGATAGGATCAATTCAGCAAGTTACCAAATGAAAACTATAACTTCTTCGATCTTGAAAGAAATTCTAAACACATACTATGGGGAGCTACAAGCATGTAAATTCTCACCAATTTTAAATTGGTTTTTCTGAGTTTTCATTGGTACTCTGGCTACCTAAATTAATTTACTGTGGATGACATTTACTGTGGATGACATTTACATCTTTACTTTATGTCCAAAATAATTAACGGACGGTGAAATTACTGTTAGTTAAAATTTACTGTGTTCTTTCACACAACAAATGAATTATTAGATGACAGTAAGGCCAGGCGCACACAGGCGATTTTGAGTCGCGCAACAGTTGCCCGACTAAAATGTTCAACATTGTTTTAAATTGGAGTGCACACACGAAGGAAACAGTCTGGGGACAGTCGCGCAACTGTTGCAACCGATGTTCCCGGACCCAATTTGCCAGCGACTGCTCTGCGACTGAATTGTTGCGGGACTGTCGCTCCAGGTTTGGTCCAGGTTTGGTTGGTTAAAAGGTTTGGTATCCATTGAAACAAGTGTAGATGCGCACACATGCAACTAAATAGTCGCTGTGTCGCTCAGTCTCACCCCAGGAGTTCAACTACTCGTGGCCAGAACTGTCACTAGTTCTCTTGTTGTGTGAAGTTTTAAGAAAATTACATGTATGAGTGTGCGTGATGAGGATGTCGAACAATTAATTGATGAAGTTGAGAAGAGGCCGAATATATTTAAAGTCATTGAAACCCTCCTTTCACAAGTCGCTCACTATATATGGGATGAACCCAGTATCTTCTCTTTTTCTTTCGCGCGCGAAACTTCAGCAACAAAGCACATACTACGGCTGTATCATTTAAATCCATTCGGAACGCTGTAACGAATGTATTTCTAACACGTCTCAAGACTAGATCCACGACTAAAAAGTTGCCTGTGTGCGCACTCCAGCTCAACTGTCGCTAGACTTCAGAGTCTCCGAGAGAGTTGCGCAACAGTCCCCCAATTAGTCGGGCAACTGTTGCGCAACTCAAAATCGCCTGTGTGCGCCTGGCCTAAAGCAACAGAATTCTATGTATACTTAGAACCAATGCTTCAGTGTAATCTAATTTTAGGTAGCCATGAGTCAAACCACCAACATGAAATTGGACATAACACACTAAAAGCTATTATACAGCTGTCATAGCATCTGAAACACACTGAAGCCAACAAACATATGCCCTGAAAACAGAGGAAAACAAACGGTAGGTAGACTTTTGAAGACAATGAGAAATGAACAGGGAATATTCATTGAACACATTAATGCCAATGCAACACATGGAAAGTTGCTCCATCTAAGCTAACAACAAAAGTTCTAAGTGAGGTAAAATGATAAAATTCTACAACAACCAAAACGATTTATAGACAAACCTTACTTAGCAGCTGCATGCTCTGCACTATCTAAGCCTAGAACAAATAAAGCCTATCATTAAAAACATAATCCACCCAATTGTTAGGATTTATAATGCTTAATAGGCTTATCTAGTTATTATAGCTCAGAAGAAGAGTTTTAATGAAAAAAGAGGGCCAAGGGTTCAATTTTAAGTTTTTATGACAGGTGAAATTAATTATTTCAACTCTTTGTCGAAATTGTAACATTTGAAGGGCTCCCACGAACAACGTTCCAAGCGCCAAATTTTTCAAAGTGGAGATATTGAGCGAACAATGTGCCATACGCCTTCCTCTAAGAGTAGGGATATTTTGTTTTGTCATAACTGCAGTGGTACGCCTGCTACCAATGGTTTAGTGGAGCACGTGTTTCCCAGACTCCAGCTACGCCGCACGAACAACGTCTCATCCGCCACAGCATGGCTTCAGGGTCAAGCGTTCTATTGAGTCCCGGCGACCAATATAAGCTGAATGCGGGTAAAAAATTTAAATTAAAACTTATAATTGTTGAATGGAAGGATAAGATTCACAAGAAGTCAAGGGATAGTGGGGAGCCTTACATTTCAAAAAGGAAGAAAGCAGTTCCTGGCAAACTACCACCAAGTGAGGTAAGTGGAACAACGTTTCTATCGCCACCTGATGCTCATGTATAAGAAGTTTTTTTTTAACAATGTTTTTAATCTTATCTTATGTTTTTTTGTGCATATCCTGCTAAATACCTAGTTAAAAAAATATTTTTTAAAGATGATCGCCTTTTGGCGAATTAACTCGAATTAACCACATTGTGTTTTAAGAATGCTTATATAGGACATTATTCTGGGGACTATTAAAAGAAGTTTGAATTTATTAAGCTAAATAATAATTAATTAAATTATAAAACGCCAACCCCTTTAGGGAGTTACTTAATACATAAACAAGCCATTTCCACCTCGAAAAAAAAAAAAAAAAAAAGTACTGTTTGGGAAACAACGTTTCAAGCGCCTGTCGCTTGGAATGTTGTTTCCACAAAAAAAGTTATAAAATTGTTATAAAACAACAATATGAAATAAAAACTTAAGTTGTTCATCATATTTAGACGTTTTAGACTCATACCAAAAATTTCAGGTAAAAAAACCAAAAAGTATGTATTCTAAAAAAGTTTTGCATAAAACACTTTGTGGCGTGATTACTCAAAACAAGTAGCTCGGCGCTTGGAACGTTGTTCGTGGGAGCCCTTAATTTCTTGAACTTTTTAAATGTTAATTATTAAAACATTGGAGTGGATATGTCTGATGAATTGAATGAATAAGTCTCTGAATCTATGGTTGTGTACTCGTAAATCCTTCAAAGAAAAAAATCATTCCTAGAACTTGTAAGTAGACGTTTCATGTAGATTTGTTAAATTACATTTTTAATTTATAAAAAGACAAACACGTACTATTGAGGATTATCCAATCCTTTTCTTACTTTTCAAGTTGAAAGTTTATACTTTTTGTTATAGTTAGACTATTATTTCTTGAATTATTGTTTTATGAAATTGGACAAAGATAATGGTCAAATATTGTTAGAAACTAAAAACATCCACATTTGTTAGTAAAACGTGCAGTGAAAAATGTGCAAATGTTGCTAGCGGTGATGGAACTGTGCATTTAAATACCAATAACTAATACATTCTACAATATCACTAGAAGAAACTAGTATTATCTGAGTACAGTAATAATAATTAAATTATAAAGTGTCAAATGTCTTAGTAAAAAACTTGTATCGTTATAACTCTAAGACCCTTATAAAAATGTTGACGTTTGTTCTTAATTTAGCAAAATACAATTTATTGTACATATTGATTAAGATAGAGAAAATACTAAGCTATTAACTTAACTTTTAGGTATTTTAAACCAAATCCCAATATATAACTTATCAATGCCTCTCTAAGTGTTAGAAGAGTTAATGATTAAAAATCGACATTCAAATACAGTTAGCATATTTTAGTTGCTTCACCTCAAACCCAATCTTTATACTTACCATCATACAACCGTCTCTAACGGCCCCCCTTTAAATAAATTAAGAATTAAAGCAAAATGGCAATAATGGTGTATAATAAACAAACCAAATAAAATGCTGAAATAAAAAAGGGTTTTCTGACTGTTCAAAGCTTTCAACCCTTACATAAATTTGTAGAGAAAAGTCTCCAATGGTGTCGTAGCAGGTTTGAAAGGAGATTAATATGATATTGTTGGAGAGATTTTAACCACAAAGGAATATTTCAGTTATCAGGCAATTTTATACAATTTATGGCTTTTCAATACTTTTTTGTCTAGTTTTACTATACTATCAAGGTAATGCAACAATACTTTCCTGTTGCATATTTTGTTTAAAAAGCATGCAGCTGCTATTCCATACATAGATGAAACGTCCATGCCTAATTGATACAAAGACTTCATTTAAGGGTGCGCTCTCCATCCACAAAATTGAATAAAAATCTATATCATTCACTAAGATTTAGGGTATTTTACAGAATTGTTAGAATATTACTAATTGGTGTCTCATAATATTTATAAATTTATCTGTTTATTTTTGGAGCAACAAAAATGTGGTGTATCAGCGTCAATCTTTGGCGTTGTAGTTGTAGCGATTTTCACGAACATACTCGTCAAGTGACCAAAAGATTTAACAAAAATTTTATTCTAAAAAATTCAAATAAAGTGAATAATAGAACATTCTTTAACAACTAGTCAATATTTAATATTCAACCATGCGCCCCCATAAAGCTAAAACCCTTTAGTTTTACTAAAGCGGCCTTGGACCTGACGCTTTAGAGCCAACCTCCAGCGTATGTTCTACTAAGAAAAAACAATGTCTCCTAGGGGAGGAGAATCTACGTTTAGTTGCTACTTCCGCTAAACGCCATATAGATTCTTTTGGACTCACCTAAAGTTTAGGTGATAAGAAGACCTTTTCTACAAAACCTTTTTTTTTATAGCCAAGCAGTGGCAGAGCACATCCTTAAATAGTTTTAGATTTAATTTAATTTCTAAAGGAACCAAAACTCCGAAGCTTACCTATGGCGGCCACAACTTCGGATATGGACTGAGCCGTCACCTCAGGGGGTGGGACCTCATCAGGGGAGTGGAGGGGGATGATGATCTGGTCAGGTTCTCCGCTACGACCCTGGAAGATGAAAGAAGTGTATTAATTATTTTAAATCAGGGAATAAATGGTTAGCAGTTTTGCATTGTTTTGTTGATTTACCGAGTTGACTATAATTTCATACTAGAGTTTTGACTTTGGTTTTGCTTGACTAGATCTGTCCTAATCTGATTGGCTATGGCTGAAGTTGCATGTGAGTTGAGTTGAATTGCTGACTTCATTACGATGTGCTACGTCCAAATATATATGCTGCGACGAATGGGAGATCGGAGATCGGTTGTTTTGTCAATTATGGAATACTCTAAGGTTCTAAAGCCGTGTTTCCACGAGGTCTTTAGAGCAGGCTGGTTAAGGGGCAAGTTACTTGCCTTTAATGTATTTCAAATTACCTGAGGTAAGTAACCTGTCCGCCATCTAGCCTCGTGTACAGTAGTCGCTGTTAGTCTGGGCACGCGGCCGAGCTATGGCTGGGGGTGTAGAGGGGAGTGTTTATTGCTCATTTCCAAAAACATCTGGCCCACACGGCTCTCTGGGCTTGTTCAGCAAGGCTGTGGGGGTGAGCGAGCCGTGATTCTCAGGACGGCTAGTACACAAGGGTCCGCACGCCCAGACTAACTGCGACTACTGTAAACGTGGCTTAAAATTTTTGGACCTGTTTGGTTCACTTGCAGGTTAGTGCAATATTTAGGGAAAAGCTGGAACCGCTGCCAGGGAACAGAAATTAAATGAACTAAGTCAAGTAATCATAAGATGACTCAAAGTAAATAGTTATTCCCAGTTAGGGGTAACTAAATGCTCCCTTAAGGTAGAATCTGAATAATATGTATGGGACATCTTTCTGGCATTCAATGGTACCTATCCAATAAATAATGCACGGATAAAAGTCAATAGGACAAGTATGTAGATATAACAAAATAAAAAAACACCCTTCCAAAATCTTGGTGTCTCCATAAAGCATTTTGGTATACTTGACTTGAAATGTCTTGAACTATGGCCTGCTATTACTGCTTGATTTTAATTAATAAATACATCTAACAAAAAATGCTTTAACATATCAAATAATTCCATCAGCCATTTTTTCCAAATTAAAATGTAAAACTCTTTCTACGTAGCTCAAGGTATTTTGTGTCTACAATATTTTCTTTTCAGACAAATCAGGTAAAACATTTTGTCATGAAGGTAAAACCTTTACCTTTATCCATGACAAGTTTGTTCAAGATGAGATTCATCCTTCGTCTGTACTGTACTGTATAGTCTAAAATATTACCATCAAAGCCCCTTCAACTAATGAACACACGGAGTAAAAAATCCACCTACCTGATGGTTGAAGGTGAATTCTACTTTAGCTAATCTCGGGTCCATGGGAGTGGTTTTCTCTGACGATTCGCTCTTCCGTCTAACAGAATCTCTGCTTCCTTTCTTGAATAGTGACGAGAAGACAGACTTGTTTTTAGAATCCTTTCTTGTTCGAAACTCGGAAGAAACTGAAATTACACGTAAATTGAAACTTGACCTAGTTAAGAAATTTGGGGCCTTTTAGTCACTCATTGTATAAATAATTTATGGTCTTGATTTGTCTCTTGTTAAGTCAAAAATATGTTTGACAATTGATGTACACAGTAGACTCCAGCTAAACCGACCCCTAAAACTTGTTAAACTTGTCTAATGCATACTATATAAGCCAATAATGATTATTTATCGTAATATAACTAATAACTAATAACTACAGAATACCAAATGCACACATCAGTCACTATACTGGACAATACACAGTTACATATGCGAGCTGTACTTTAAAGTTCGGTAAACGTTTGCAACAACAACAATTTAGAGCATGGGCGTCATTCCATATGGGCAAGAGGGAGCTCAAGCCCCCTCTTTCAGACTCTACCAGAATGACCATACAGACTGAAAATTCCGGAATGTTTGCGTAAATGTATTGAATCAGGAACTATGGGGGAATTTTTAGTTCGCACTGGTAAAACCTGTTTTAGTCTGCGGTCACGGTGAAATTGGATTGTCAACTGTGGACACGGTGAAATCTTAGGTCGCAGCAAAATCAAGAACATGATTGCTCCGAGGTCACGGTAATGTCTAAAACATCTTACGCAGTCACGGAACGATCGGGAAAATCTTCTGCGGTCAAGGAATGATAGAGAAAATCTTCCGTGCCAACCGTTGGTCCGACCATACCCTACCCGAAAATATGGAGTTCCCGGACCCACAGATCCCTAGTACATGGTACCCTTGGGGACTAGGAATCAAGACTGGGAAAACATGTTTTTCTGTCGAGAAATCTGGAAAAATAGTGAAATTTGTCTCTAAGTTCTGTCCAAAACAACCGATTTTTATAGATTGTAGAATAAAACATAACAGTTAAACAATTCACATTATACCAGTAGCCACAGTAATATGTATTCAAATTTTAAAAACAAAGCAACAACATATATACTGACAAAGGAAATTTTAGGGTTAAAACTGTTTAAAAGCAAACATTTTTAGATCTAAATTTTAATCATTTTCCTCAAGTACTCCCAAGACTACCCTTTTTACTGAAGTTTATTCCATACCCCAACCCCCGGCCACCCTTATGGAAAAGTCAGATGGACGCCCATATAATTTAGAGTTCAAATTATATGATCGAGGCTAACAATACATGTGCACTATACAGGAATCACTTGAAAACCAACCTAAATATTTTATATACATTTGGGTGAGTATTTGAAACATGATCACTGGCTCACTGGTCTCATATCTTTCCCACGAGAAAAGTCTGTTTCTGTACCACTCACTTCCTGTTGATCGAGTTTCTGTTAAGCCAATGTGAAGATTTAAAAATTGTCCAGTAAAAGAAAAAAAAGAGATGTCACTTCTGTCGAATGTAGTTCGGCTAAACCGATGTCTGGTTAAAAGGGGTCTGGATAAGAGGGAGTCTACTGTAACTGACATTTTTTTGAATTTAGAAATAGTATTAGTTTTTGTTTAAACAAAATCTAGAATGTCTCACACAGCATGCTCAGATTAAACACAAACTATGGCTATGTTCAGACTAATCCTAATACAAAAGATATGAAATATTAGAGAAGAGGAAAGAAATTAGTTTAAATAGTTCAACAATGAGATTTGAGGGAGAAATATCTCAAATCAGATCTGACAGTCATAAAACTTCTGAATTTCTCAATCCAAGGTTTTAATGTTTTAAGTAGAAGTACTGTAATATTTTAAGTAGCGTACGGTACTGTATCATCACACTAGTAACAAGTACGAAAGAAGAGTTAGTAGTTAAAAATGAGTGTTAAGATTCTGAAAACAACTATTCGCCGTACTCACTATTTTGACTTCTGTTACCAGCTATAGTATTGTATTTTTCCTTTTTCTTTTTACCTGAAATAAAACTTTGGTATTTTAAACTAACAAAAAAAAAAAACTCTTTTTCCAATTAACTGTAGTATTTGTAGTAAACATAATCCAAGCCATTGGCATTTTCAAAACTTGTTGTAATAAAACATTCCAAAAACCTGGACATGTTTCTACTGATCGTAGTCAGTAACAAAGCTACACAGATAATCTCATTACCATTTACACTCATTGATAACCAAAATCTAATATCAACACCATTAATTAATTTATTGCCCAACATGAATGTATCTGTGTCTAGAATTGGTTCCCACTTGGGATTGAACCAGCAATCTTATAATCTGAAGGCGAGTACAGAACTATAACCCAGACATCAAGACAAGCATCACCAGCCACTTAGATCATATTGATAATATGATGTTTGAGTTTGAATATTGGTAAAGTTAATTCTTTCTTGAAGATGATTCAAGAATTGACTGAAAGTACAGTAATATATTTACCGGAAGCTCGGCTCTTGGTGCTGCTGGACGATTCTGAGCTACGTCGGAACAGAGATGCTCGAGACATAGAAGCAGCCGGTGATGGAGTACGGGACTCATCCCTGTGAGAACAGAGTTTTACATTCAGTAACATATTCCTTGAGGTTTAAATCTTCAATCAATAATTCAAATACCTTTCAAAAATTGTAAATTAAATTGAATTAGAGAGGTTATTTGAGAGCTTAAATTGAAAAATATATTAGATCACGGTCTCAGGAACCAATTAAGGAGGAGTAATATAAAATTAGCCTTCAGGATTTCAAACAAAGCTCAAACTATTTGGAACAATAAAACTAGGCAGGGTGATGAGACTGAAAAAAAAAACTGAGCTATAGACAGTGGTGTAGTAACCTAGTAAATCTTTCAGTGTAGGAATTATGCTCACCAAGGTCAGGGGAAAAAATAGGTCACTTACCAATATACAGGTTCATTGGAAAAATCAGCGTGGGAAAGCAATTCCCAAACCTTTCAGACCAACTACACCACTAGATATAGAGAATCAAATGTGCTGACTGACCAAGCTTTTACATTAGATAGCCTACAAAGTGTGCCCACGTGTGCCTCTCAAATCAGAGAACTAACACCAAAAAGTTGAAAATTGCACAACATTTATTTGACAGTAATCACAATATGAATACAATTGAAAACAGCATAGACATTTTCCATTACTGTCAATAAGTAGTAAGACCAATGTGCTGGAAGAATTTGTAATAAATAATAATTGCCTTAAAACCTCCAGATCTTGTACTAAACAACAAACTAATGTTCAAGTCTAATTATATTTCTTAACACCGTTCACTACGAGAGAAACTCATTCAAATCATTCTGACCATCGTACTGATTATCAGTTGATATTATTTGTAATATTATCTAGAGCGAGTTAGTTACCTGGTCAACTGGGTGAGGCTCTGTACAGGTCTTGAAGGTCGAAGGATCGATGTCAGATCAAGAGTTGCAGGTTTCACTTTAACTCCCTCCAACTCAGGACTTCTACAACTACTTGTGGAATGCTTCCTCGAGTACACATTTGAGTCGTCAGGCTTGAAGTAAGCGTGTTGGATGGATTGTATATCAGAATGATAACCTGGACTCGGACTGACAGATTTCGGTCGAAGGTCTTCGGGTTTCAAATCATATTTTTCATCCAAAAAATCTTCTTGTATCTCAACTTTGATAGGTTGTCTCTCCGATTCATCTGCATGAAGAGAGATAAATTTTACTAGTTCTTCGTCTGTTTTCTTTTTTAAAGGTTTTGAATCAATCGTGGTCGGTGACGTTTTGGGAGTCTTTCCTTTAGCTTTTACATCTAACTTTTTCGGTTTAGCGAGGGTATCTTGTTTAGTTTTCGGCTTTGTCTCCATTGGCGATTTTTTCGTAAAGTCTGCACCCTCTGGAAGAGGTCCCTTCAGTGGAATATAAATCCCGTATTCAGGGGAAGAGGGTCGATCAGTTTCAATTTCTAAAGCAACTATTTCTTCATCACCGTGTAGAGGAATGATGACAGCACTTGCGTCCGGTGGTATTGTTGGTTTCTTTCTAGGTGGCATTGCTTTTGGTAGGGGTTGTTCTGTGTCTTTAATTTTTCTTGCTGTGGTGTGGATTTCTATTTCATCTCCTTTAAGGGGTATAATTCTCGAATCTTTATCCAGTATGATATTATTAAAACTTTTACTAGATTTATCAACCTCCTCATCAGGGGATCCATGTAAAGGTATTATTCTAGAATCACCTTCTAATACTGTTGTTGTTGTCGTATGTGGTTTTTTACCTCCACTCAGGACAATTGGAGTTTCATCACCCGTAAGAGGAATAAAAATTTGGTCACCCTCATACTTAATTGGTTCTTTCCGTTTACTAGTACTAACGGAAGTAGATTTGGACTCTACGTTACGTAACGGTAAAGTCTTCATCTCTTTAACAGGTGTTTTCCGTTTGCTCGTACTTACCGGAGATTTAGCAGGCGGTGGTGTTGGATCACTATGCAATGAAATAAATTTTGAGTCGTTATCCAAGGGTAAGGTCTTTTTCTGCTCACTCTTTACAGGCTCATCATCATGAAGAGAAATTATCCTTTGATCAGGTTCCAGAGGCAATGTTTTACTCTTACTCCGACTAACGGTTACAACAGGTACAACAGGCTGCTCCGGTTCTTCTTCACTGTATAAGGATATAAATTTTGCATTACTACCAGGAGGTAATCTCGGAGGTTCTTTCCTGTGTGTCGGAGTAACTTTCTCATCCTCTGTTTTGACTGGTACAACTATCTCTACATCTTTAGGAGCTTCTGTTCGAGAAGTTTTACTATGAAAGGAACTACTTCTGCTCTCCCTTCCGCTCTTGGACTTTTCACTCTCTGACTTGACGCTGGGTTCTCTCGTGACAGAAAGAGTGCTACTCGATCCTTTGGTAGACTTTGATTTTTCTCTTCTACTACTTTTCCCATTAACCATAGTGTGTTCTTGTGGTAAGACTGCGCCCGTCGGGTCTGTCTGCCGCGCCAGCAGTGTAGCCTCCACACTTTCCTTGGGCGGATACTCTGCGTCCAGACTCACGGTGGGGATGGGCTTGGGTCCGCAGAAGGATGTCTCCAGCAGCATCTTGTGAGGGGAGGAACATCGTGAGGCGCGAGACAGCTGGGAGGTCGCAGAAAGGTGTGAGGCTGCGGAGAGATGCGATGCTGCAGACACTCCTGAGGCCGCCGAGCCTCCTGAAGCTGCAGAACCGATGGAGGACAGCCGACTGGTGCGGCCGCCGATGTATAGCAGCCCAGTGTCACTACAGGCCGAGTCCTTCCGCTCCTTACCCTCCTTGTCACCTTGCATCTCCAGCTCGTATTTGTTCACCTGAAATCACATGTTTGTTACTTCCACTGGCATTTGAAATTACAATATACAGTTATTCAATATTCATCAATTCAAAATATTATGAATTGATGGATGTTAAAATGTAGGCAAGTAGTAAATGTTTATTTTTGTTATTAATAGAAAACACAGTCATTTTGTGTATTTAGAGAAATATACTCCCCATTCCCATGTTCCACCATTTTGAAATGTTATAATGAACAGAGTTCAATTATGCCACCAACATAGTATGTGTGTTGCTGTCAATTATTCATTTCAGACATGTCTGTCATTAAGAAAGCCAAAACTAAACTGGAAGAACAAGTATAGAATCAGGAAGGTAATCTATAGTATATTTATATGTACCATCGGCAAAGTATTGAAAAATTAGAGGAGAAATAGAATTTTAACGATAGTACACTCTGAGAGAAGCTCATTCAAAAATTTTCTATTTAAAGAAAATTAGGTTACGGTACTAAATATTCATTGTTGGGAAAAATTAGTACAGGTGTTAAATTAGTGAGATAAATGTTTTACTGATTAAAACCAAGGTTTTAGATTGTATGTAACCTACTCTAATTTTACATCAGATTCCTCTTTTATTGTAAATTTGGGCCTTGTTCTTAAAAATAAATTATTGGATGTTAAGTTACTACCAGTATTCTAAATAAAAAAAAATCTTATAAAACGCAAGTTGAGCGTAGAGCTAAGAGCGTAACATAACTCTGTTAACATACATTATAACACTAACCTTAATTGCCACTGTTGTAAACACAATATCGTTTGTTTGGAATGTTGTGGGATGTATTTTACACTAAATAAATATTATTTTGAGGTGTTATTGAAGAGTAAGCTTCACTTTCTCTAGTTTGGCTGCGTCTGAGAGTTTGTAGTCCCAAAATAACTCCGGCTAACGAGTTACAAACCTACACGTCATATTTCACAATGTGAGATTTTTATATGTTTGTCACAAAATACCATTGCACAGTTATTGTTACTCGCGAGTATTTTGAAGCTTGGACACAAGTTTTTGAATAAGAATTTGAAATCTCATGTTGAGCACTTAAAGGTGTAACATATTCTTCTTTGTGTTGGTTTTGAACCTACATACTAAAAATGATACTAAAAAACTCATCAACAGTTTATTATGGGCTAAATATATTGCTGATAAAATCATGGATATTTGCTGATAATTTTGATTTATAGATAAATTTGTTTGAATTTCAATTTATTGAAACTGCTGCAAATAGCTCTTTTTATTCTTTTAAAATCTTTTACTACATAAGCAATATCAGGCATCGGTATTATTTTTACACAATAATAAACTTATCATTTGAAAGTTAACACCGCTGCCCCCACCATCCTAAATATTAAGTCTGCCCTCTACCAGTTTCATACCAAAGGTGGACATCACGTATTGACATTAAATATATTGGCAGAATGCAGTCCAGTTATAGTTAAATTTTATAGTAAAATACAATTTTTAATTGAAAGAGAAAAGAAAGATTCAAGTTGGATGAACAATGGAATGTAATTGAAATTTGTTTGCTAAATATAAATAAACAAAGAGCAGCTGAACATTGTGCACACAAAGCATAAACAGCACAAAAGAGAAATTAAATGCACAGTACAAAAGGCATATTAATATTAATTATATAATGAGTAGTGACACAATTTGCATAAGCTGTCAGCATAGTAGTCTACTTTATATTCTTGGATACAACCATTGATTTAATTCTGGTCAGTTTAATTCATTGAAATCAATAATAAATTCTGTTAACTTAGTTTTTAGCGAATTTCCTAGATAGGGAATAAGCTATTACCGTAGGATTCATGGTTTGACCTTGGCCTTTTGACTGATTAACTTTTTAGTTTTGAGGTCTCCAGAGGCCCAAATCACCATTCGTTATAAAATTCCCTTGTTATTTTTATGGAGAAAAAGAAAACTCTTCTAGTTTGTTTGATTATTGATATATCTTCATTGAATTTAATAAATTAAATTAATGTTTTACTTAGCTATCAACATTTCAATAAAAACACACTTTTTTACCTTCCCTGTAGCAGCCAAAGCTAATATCCATCTCTAATTATCTATTTCTCTATATCTTTAATTGTATATTTTTAATTACTCATTAAAGATTTCTGTTATTTATATTGAAAAATGTGAAAATTGTAAGACCAGAATATTTTTGCTTAAGTCCAGTCAGATAATTGGAAATTTCCTTAGTTTGAAGGTTTGCTGCGGTGGTGGTATTTATTTATTTTTTAACTAAATCATCATTTGTTTATTGATTTGTTGATTTATTGCTGATTCGTCAGCCAATTATAATCACCTGGTGTCCAGTAAAATTTATTACAGTACAGTAGCACGTAATGCAACCCCATTTGACTAAGCAGGCGGCAACCAGCTGTTTTCCGGACTAATTTTATGTGTGGGAAAGTCTATTGAAACAGTGTAGTGTGAAGAAAAATACATTACAAGCAACTTTAACTTTCAACGTTTATCACAAAGCAGACATTTTCAAGCCCACAGATATAATCATGCAGTGGCTGTGAACCTTACATAAGCTTTAATTTTAACAACTAAAAATACCCTAGAACTCACAGCCTGTTGTTGATGCAGTTTCCGTCGCCTTTGTTTGGTCTCGAGTTCCGTTGGGTCTTGGAAATCGAGTTCCTCAGTGCTGTTACGGAGTTCCTGGGCCATCTCTTCCGTAAAGCCCAGTCCCAGCTTGGCTACGGGCGCTCCCTCGGCTCCTGCAGACAGAAATATAAAATATTTATTTTTATAGTTGCTAAAACTAGCTAAAAATATTCCCCTAATAGTTATTCCCCTATAAGAATTTCGAAACAAGTATCTGGATGCAAATGTCAAGGAAAAATAAATTTATAAAAAAAATGGTAAAATTTTATAACTCTAGCCCTAGAATAGTATATTTTATTACTAGGACCAAAAGTTGCATTTTCCGGCGCGCGCTCAAGTTTTTGTGTAAACAGGGAAGCTCGAGAGCTATTTTCACGTACGAGGTGAAGCCGAGGACGGGAATAATGGAGCAAGCGCCGGATAATAACTTTCGGTACGCGTTATGAACGATACTTTTCATCACGGCGCAAAAATACACAAACACAGGATAGCAGACCTCAGTAACATTACAACTAATTTATTTCCTAATTAGTTTGATCAAACATCAAAATAAAATAAAACCTTCTAAAAGGAAACCTACGTATATTTTTGATTAGTTTTTTAAAACATAAAAATAAAAGAAAATATTCTGAAGGAAACCCACGTACTTTTCTCAATAAATTTGGGTTAAACAGTAAAATAAAACAAAAAAAACTACTTTTAACAATACATAAAGCTGATTCAAATTATTAAATTAAATCGTAACACAACACTAGCGCACGTAGTGAGTGGGGAACTAATCGAGAGCGAGGGAAAGTTTTTTACACTTGATCAGAGTTGTTCCATTCTCAACCCATTTCACAGTATATTATTCATTAATGGAACAAATTTAGTCAATTATTTAAGACCGTATTCCCTCAACAAATTTAAACTCTGAAGCCCGAGTTAGGAAATGTTTTTAGGAAAGTAAAGGGTTTGCATGTGTGTAAAAAGAATATTCATTTAACCTTAACACAAAAAAAAAATAAAAAACTACTATTCTACCTGATTTTCTAGTTGACTGTTTTTTTAAATATACCAATAATATTTAATAAACCAAGTGTATCACTTTAGCAGAGCTGCTAGCAAGTACTCTACTCAGTAACACAGAGAGGCACTGACTGCCATGCTAGAAGCTTTAAATAGATCCATTGTGATACAGTTTTATAGCTTTCTGGCAACTTTGTCTGAAACTGCCTATGTCTAGACACCGACGATTAGACAGTTAAACAAAATATTTCAGTAACAAAACTTTAAAAATATAAATTGTTCGACGATAAATCTTTGAAAGTACCTCCCTAGATAAATCTCTTCCTAAATTTGTTTACTCATTTAATCATCGATTTCAATTGAAACAAAAACTTTTTGGGTCTGTATTTCAAATAAAAAGCAATTTTCAGAAAAACAGTTATTATACTTGATATCTTCTATTGATGACTAAAAGCGTTTGAACTTATTGATAAAATAAAATATATTATATACATTTTTGAGTACCAGTATAATGGTAATAAATGAATGTTAAACATTCATTCTGGTAATGCTTGACACAAATTTACTTTTAAATCTCCACAAATACTGAAAACAATCAAAACTAAACTTAAAAAACTCTTTTAAATATGCTGCATTGATTTTGTTTTGTTTTTTCATAGTTTATTTATTTAATCAGTCAATTTTCCCTTTAAAAGTCTTTGAAAAATGTTTAAAATATTTTCCCCTTTTTTAGGTTTTTGTCTAGTTGAAAATCCAATAAACGCGCTGGAATGACAGAGTTGCTCACAGAGGGGCAGAGTATTGGAACTCAATAGATCTGCAGCTATTGTGCAGAGGTGAGAAGGCTAATTTACAATAAAACCTCGCCAAATCTGATTTGTAGCGGAATACTGTCACAGGAATGTTTTAAACAGCACAATACTTGTTTGATTTGGGTCAAAAGGTTTTGACAAAGATTTATGAAAGTTATTTTTTTGAGGATGTATGATAGATTTTCACAAAACAGACTGTTAACCATAGTTAGTTATGCAAGGATGTAGCCGGGATTTTATTTTGGGGGGTGCTGATGACATTCACGTATCAAAATGGGCGGTTCCGGAGGTCTCCCTCCAGGAAAAAGTTTGTAAATCTTAGAGCAAAATTGTGGGATTTTAGGCGATTTGAGCATTTAAAATCTCTTATTCATTTTACGGACCATAGGAAAATTTAAGAACAAAGGGTAAGACTTTGTGCCTTACCTTTACCGTTCAACAATTAACCATATATTACTAACACAGTCAAATTCATTAGTATAAAAAATACCCCCGTCGCAGCAAACCTGCATACTAAGCGAATTTCCATTCACCTGGCTTGATTTCTACTAAAATACAGTAAATTTTCAGATTTATTTCCTATTTAAATAACATCAATTTTAGTGAGTAGTTAGGATTGCTGCAACGGGAAAGATATTGAGGTGTGTTTTTTTATTGAAATATTGATTGCTTAGTATGAAATAAACCAAATTGCCAAATTTGATTAAAAAATATCCATAAACAAGCAAACTACAACAGTTTATTTATTCACCATAAGAATAACATGGGTATTTTAAATTTACATTTCTTTAAATTTTCTCCAAACCAATGAACATTTAAAAACACTTCAATATACAAAATTATTTGTTTTTTTAAGCTCTTCAAAATGGTCTAGAGAGAAATTTAGAAATTTAAAGTTTTTAGGGTCAAAAATGGGAAAAATCAATTTTTACCCTATAAAACCCCCCATAAACCCCTGTTGCCATAGTCCGATTATGCTGGCGAACTCGTTCGAATAAACGTAGGTTTACAGGTTTGTACCAAATTTCATCAAAATTGGATAATTTTTGCTCGAGTTATCGCGCTAACGGACACATATATAATATATATATATATATATGAATTTGAACGGATGGCAATTAACCTCAAACCTGATGCGAATGGCCTATGTGGACCTCAAAATGAAAAAGTAAATCGGTCCCGGGTCTAGGTCTTACCATGAAACCTAGGGTAATAGCTTATTCCCTATGGGAAATTCGCTAAAAGAAATACCGGTAATAACAAAAAATGTGATTTTTATTAGTTTAAAAAAGTTAACATTGCTAACTGCTTTGATGGCATTGCATCAAAAACTACAAGAGAACAAGCTTCCTGGGTACGCTCAAGGCCCCACTAGAAAAACAAGGCCATGCTGCAGGTTTCATGACGTCACACTAGTGGTTGGATTTCATTGATAAATTATTGCCATCACCATTCCCATATGTTTGAGGTAAATAAACAAGCTGGCTGTTTGTAAGATTTTAATGGTAAGAGTTTAGTACAACTATCCACCACTGTGACGTAGTGTTGCGCTGCCCCTGCTGCAGCATGGCCTGTTTTTTCTTGTGGGGCCTTGGTACGCTTGCCATTACGTCCAGTTCTTGTTCTGGTCAAACACTAACTCTGCCGTAGTGAACATACAAGAGTGCAAGATCAGGGTTAATCTTTTGTCATTGATCCTGTTTCTTAAGTAGTTTTTGATTCTTTTCATCGTCGAAAATCGTCGACCCCCTGCGTACGGACACTCAGCTACAAATGAGGACTTGTTGGTTTGTATCTTGTTGTCTGTACCAACTAACGTCGCTCACTCGTTCAATAAACCAACCGGCATGACATCAAAACTGGTTTATTGAGCAAGTTAAAAAAGCCTCAGTTTAGTTATTGTTAAAACTTAATTTTATGAGAATTTCTGGGAGTGCTGGAGCAGTACCCTCCACTGGCTATCCCCCCCCCCCCAATTTCCTGTGTTCTAATTTTCAACTATATTTACATACAGCCATGGTTCAATCAAGTTAGCTATGACCCTGAATAAAATCAGGAGCAAATAAGCTAAAAACAAGGCATCTTTACTCACTCCCAACACGATGTTTGAGATACAGAGTAGTGACTTAAATTGTTCAGCTTATATGTTTAAACTAAATGAGCCATTACTGAATTACTCAACCGAGATTAGTTTATTCACACAAGAATGGGTATTTTATAAATCCTGTTCAATTAGTGATTTTTTCCATTTGAAGTTACCTACTGATCAACTACAGCACAGTAGCCTATATGATAAACCGCCATCGACTATTTTAAAAATAGTTACTTGCCATATCATTTAAGATGGGGACGTCACCTAGGTGCGTATTTTAACCAAAATATGAGTGAAGGATGAGTGTGTTGGTGTGAGATGATCAGTGTAGCTTTATTACTGACTATCTGCTGATTTATTAGCCAGGCCCTGTTTAAAGCACCATTTGAAGCACCATTCTCAAGGTCAGTTTTTTTTTGTCCTTGGACGCTATAGGCACGAGCCCGGGATTGTTTTTCACATTACTTCAGGCTAGACCTAGGGGTGGCGGCATTATCACTTAGATAAAATCCATTGGTGACTTGGCGGGATTTGAACCCGGGACTGAAGTCCTGCGCTCAAACCACTACACCAGCTCGCTCCCCCATTCTCAAGGACAGTAGGTCCAACTACTATCAAAAGTTTCTGACTTTTTCACTTATAAAGATATAAATATTTAATTGTAAGGCAAGCACTATTACCACTAAGCTACCATAGTACCTCATTCGCATCAACTGATAATTTAAAAGCATCATCCCACTGAATTTCCCAAAACTAGTCTACTAAACTTTGAAATTGGTAAAACCCATTCCCGTGTCAATTTTGTAGCCAGTTAGGAACGAAATGAACATATTGATTGAACCACTGCCAGTGCCAGTGTGCAATTGTGCATTGATGTCATTTACTGACTTGAAGAAGCCACTTTTAGCCACTTTTATTTGACTTAAGTCAAACGGAAAGAGCTTATATTTAGAAGAACTACAGCAAACTTCCTGACATCAATTATCAAACTACAAAAATATATATAATTGCGTCAGTAGTACCCTCTGTGAGTTCTGGATAGCTCATTTAACTATGTTCTTTTTGAAAACAATATTGACAACAGCTACAGCTGGTCCAGTGTTCTGTATAACTGGGATGTCTACTTCAGCACCCTAAATTCAACCACTGAACTTACCAGTGAAGAGGTCACGCTCAGGACTACTGTCATCCTGGTGTGAGGAACTACTGGCTCTGGAGATGTCTATGCGGGGGGTGGGGACCCCCATCTTGGGCCCCGCAGCCCCGTCCACCCCCGGCAGTGTGAGGAGGCTCGGCCCCGCCGGTGGACTCTCTTGCTCGTGTTCGTCACTCAGATCTTCAATTGATGCAAACGGAGCTACGCCTCTTCCCTTCGACTCCATCCTTGCCTGAAATTTGATTATTATCAATTTTCCATACCATTTATTTGAGATTAACAGGATACTCACCTGATACCCCAAATATTTATCTTTCAAACTACTACAATCTACAATGAAGAACTCAAAAATTAAATATTGATATACATTGTTCTTGAAACTGAATCCACAATAATTTGCTGATAGTGTCACCAGAGTGCACACTTTAATCTGGAGATGAGTGTTAAATCTCATGCGTGACATGTTATGGTTGTAGCCAGGTTTAGAGAGAAAATTAATTTAGCAGAGAGTGCTTCTGTCAAATACTGTTTTCTGTTTGATCCGCAAACTAGAAATGACAAAGTATTGCTACTGTATGTCTATCATGAGGTGACTTCTGTAAGTAAGGGATTTACTCAAGTCTCACTCTTAGCGTATCTACATAAATTTTATTATTTGTCTACAGCATACAAAAGAAAAATATTTGAAATAACAAAAAGCCTAATGTTATACTTGTTGCAATAATTTTTTGACAAATCATAATCTTTGTATCTTTTCTCATACTTTAAAACATAGGCTTTTAATGAAGAATATTTCAATTTGAATGTTTTGGATATTTTTTTTATCAGAAATAAGAAGACATTTGTTATACAATCTGACAAATTGTTAAGTAAATGGTTTAGCACATTTATTTCTTGCAGGCAAAATATAGAAATTTGTCAGCTAATTTCTAAAATAAAAACAAAAACTCTTCCAACTAAGGACACAAAAATAAGATCCACATACAATACAGAGGTTTTGTATAATAATAAAACTTTAACAGCCACTAACAATGGCAGCAAGAAAACATAATGCTGATCTTTACAAAAAAACAATATTTTCTAAAGATTATAATTAATATTGTCCATGTGTTCTCTATTTGGAAACCAGAATATACTAAGCCATTTATATTTGAAAAGCAAACACACTGAAAGTTTTGAGAAAGTTTTAAATTGTCAGTGTGTTATAAAGCTCATTAAACAGGGCCCTTCCAACACTTCTCTTATCTTCTACTTGAAACTCATTGTTCTTGCATTATCTTCTGTCATATTCTCTTCCTCACTGTCTAGTCACTGTATTGTCTTTGTAATATAGCCTGGAGATGTTAATTTTGATTTGTGTTTTACTGGGAAAGCCAAATTACGCAAGGAAATTTGATGGTTGTTTGTGAAATCTAAGTTGTTTACTAAAAAATATAAACATTAACCTATCAGCTGTTCATATATTATCTATCTATATATTAATAGGCAAGCATGTTTCTTTAAAACCTTTTTTCTCAGCTCGTGTGCATCGTGGGGTAAATCTACGCATACCGTTAGAAAGCTACTTTCCTGTAGGTGTGCAGAATCCCTTTATAAATTTAAATAGGCTCAAAGATAAGCACAAAAAATGAGTTTAAAAATTTGAAAAAATTAACATGGATCTTATGCGTTGCCATGCTGGTGACGAAATAACAACGAAATATAAACATAAAATCAAAACAAATGGAAGAAACTCCAATCACATGTTTTATTTACAGTGTGGGGTGAAAATAGAGAAGTGAGTAAGTTTACATTACATATTTATGGTCGAGTTTCGACCACTGGACGACCTCTCGTTATTATTATACAGTACAAGAGGGATCCCAAAAGACAGATGTTATAACATTTTCTGCAAGTTTATTTTAGTTTTAATATCACAGTATGTTATTATGGTTACCACTGGTTTGGTCTCTCAGCTTCCAGTCCGGCCCGACTTCCTTTCCCCTAAATTTGTTCAACAGCTGTACTGCATAGACGAGTATTTAGCACATTTTTATCAGTTTATTTGATGTGGTATAAAACAATCACTTAACCACAATAATACTAGTTACTCTGAATGTTTTTTTTTTTTCTTATGACCCATGTATCTCGTTAAGTGTTGATTTTAGGAACACGATGTAATGAACATTATTGTTGGAAATTTAATGCTCTTCATTTTTGTATGAGTACATTTTACCGCTAGAGGGCACCGTTTTCAAGATATTTAAAGAAAACCGAAAAATTGTGCATTTACACCCCCCTCCCCCCCCATAGCTCACACCCCATCAGTCAGGACTTTTAGTATGTTGGTCAGGAGGGTATCCCCTACAACTGTGCAAAAATCCGGGACTACACCATTTTTCCCCGCTGAGGGACATATTTTGAGCTTTGTTGACTGGGCTATTATATCCAATAGTCAATTCTTGAATGTTTTAAATGTTGGTTTAGATTAAAAATAAGATCATGACTGTATAGGGTTGATTCAGATTTTAAAGTGCTTATTGAATTCTAGTTCCAGGTTTCATTTAAAGTGATGCTTAAAACAGTTTGTAGGATCTAATTTTTGTGAAGGTAAGTTACAAATTATGTTATATTTACATATAGATTTTTCTACATCTAAGTCTAAAGTTTCAACATTACTCATTTTTAGGTATTGATTTTTTACAAAAAATATCAAAATGTGGTAGGTCTACAAAATTTGTAAATAACTTTTTCAACTATCATGAAAATACTAAGAACATTTTCTACACATTATTTTACAACTATCTGCAATGGGTACTACTTTTTATGACTGATCAGGTGTTGTTTTGGTACAAACACAGAGATTTAGTTGTATAGTATTATAATAAAATCTAAGTTCTTACCGTCAACGCAATCAGGAGTAATATTCCACTACGGCCGTTTCGGAGATGACTCCATCGTCAGGTGCGTAGTGGTACACTAAACTATAGTCTTGTCACATTTAACACGAGTTTTCTTCATTTGCATTGCGTCAGGGGGTGAATAAATAATACACATATATTTACAGGACGGACACACGAAAACACGAATACACGAAAACATTTAGAGCACGTGCATGGCTTGAAAACTGACGACCGACTCAATTAGATGAATTTTACAAATTTTAGTCGGTCGTCAGTTTTCAAGCCATGCACGTGCTCTAAATTTTTTCGTGTATTCGTGTTTTCGTGTGTCCGTCCTGTAAATATATGTGTATTATTTATTCACCCCCTGACGCAATGCAAATGAAGAAAACTCGTGTTAAATGTGACAAGACTATAGTTTAGTGTACCACTACGCACCTGACGATGGAGTCATCTCCGAAATGGCCGTAGTGGAATATTACTCCTGATTGCGTTGACGGTAAGAACTTAGATTTTATTATATTTTCACGCAATCTGCCACACTCAAGAATAGTATAGTATTATAGTCTGTATGATGGAAACTGTCTCCTATGTATAGCCTGAGGACTGGCCATTGGTTCAAGGCCAGAGCCAGTCTCATGTCCCAGAGGGTCAGACATGAGACAAGTTCCATCATATAGACTATAATTTACTGTATAACCCTCACTTCCCATCTACCCAGCAAACAATAATAAGATGATAAGAGATAGTAAACAACATTTTTTAATGTTAAAAATTATGCAAAAAAACCAAAATGTACAATACATGAATCAAACTCGGAGACAAGAATTAATTGGAAAATCAACAATTGTTTAACATTTTCCAGAGGAGGTCTCCTGGACCCCCTTTTACTGGGTGCCATACCCTCAATTCCCCCCAGCCCCCTTATGGAACAGTTAGATGGACGAACAGGGATAGTTGGTTACACCATTCTTCCAGAAAGAATTAAATTGTTAAATTATTTGTAGGTTATTTCTCTGTGGGATCAATTTCATTTTTAAATTTTACGAAGAGAAAGATCACAAAGTAATTTGAAATAGATGAGTTTACTGTATACAAATTTTAATCAAATAAAAAAATCTTTATATCCAAGTCTAATAAATGTATAACTAGATTATTTAATGTTTATTAACTGGAATTTGTTACTGTATGTAAAGAAAAAAACTTTGCTACCTGTTTTTCACCATTGAATGAGAGATTGGGTTAAATATTAATTAATTGTAGTATCATAGCAAACAGTTGATTGATTTATCACTTGACACAGATTATTGTCATTAGTTGGTAGACCATCTCAACAGATTGCAGCAAATTTCTTTGCTTCAAATTTTTACATTACATGGGAAGTCTATACTGTGTATAGTCAATGGTTCAGCTAAGTTATGATAATAATACCACTAATACATTACAATTTTTAAGGGATTGATAATTTCATCCGCTAAATTTCTACATCACTACCTATCTATTAAGAGTTTAATTCTAGTTCGATTTTCTATGCTAGGCCAACCATTATTTACATTATTGTACATAATATGAATGATTCCAAACAACACATCGATAAAATCATAAACTAAACTTTTAAATTAACAATCTAACTTTTGATGAAATCCCAAGCCATTATACATTTTTATCTCATTAAAATTCACTTAGGCCAGATATTTTGATGTTAGGAGTTTTACCAATAAAATTATTTTAATTAAATAGAAACTAAACATAAGCTATTAATCAAGTCTTTTTTTACTGAAACAGATTTTGTTTTGAAAACCTAACAATAAACTATATTTTTTTTCGATTCACACAATTAGGACACTATTAGCAAAATGCTTGTTCTTTATTCTCTAGCAATCAGATAAAATCAATGTACAACTAGAGTTTGAAATGTAACGACTGTACTTTAAAGTAGTAAATATGCCATTGATTAAAACTAAATAAATAAAAAGTAGTCATTTTTGTAAGAACATTTATTGCATATTTTTTTATGAAATGGTACTTATTTTTAATCGACTTGACCATTGCTTGGTTCAATGAGTTTTAATTACAGACTAATTTAATTATTAATAAGCGTGAAGTGAGGCTTGTTGTGGTTAAAAAAGATAAACCTTATTTTTATAAACTTTTAAAAATTATACAAAAAGTATTTTTTAAATTGTTTTAAAATAAGAGTGATATTTTATACTAGACAAAACATCAAAAGCAGTGTGAGCAAAAATGTGAAACGTCCATGATGTCAACATTCATGGTTTTATGAAAAAGAAAAAAAATTTTGATAAAATAAAAATAATTCTAAGCTATTGCGGGTCCTCCTACTGTGGACACAGATAACAAATTTTGCTTACAGTTTTTGTAGAAATCCTTTTCAAGTCATTGTACTGCCGACTGGTAAACATATAAAAATAATCACAAATCAATAAAATCATCATAATTAATGAAACAAGACAGGCCGCAGTAAGTAGTACGGTAAAAACGCAAACACCTTTAAAGAAAAACATGTTTTGAAGAAGAAAACACAGAAGGAAACGCTCAATAAGGAAGGTAGAAAAGACTGGCCCAGAAAACACAATTGGAATTAAATGAAGAAACAGTGAACATTGCTGCCAAAACTGAGCTGAAATGTTTCTCTAAATGGCAAATGGAGTACAATACAAACTGGCCTGAAATCAAAACAATCTAATGTGGCTATTTTAATTCAGCTGCTCATGTAAATATGTGATACAGATTTGTAATGATGTTTTTTAGATTAACTTTTTATTGGCCTACATTTTTTATTGGATACATGTTGTTAATTAAATAGTAGTAGACAATATTATTGATGTGTTTTATCTCTGACTATTAACTTAATACAACATTTGCATGTATAAAAATATGTGTTAAAAGTGCATTAGGGAATATTTTTAACATTTTTAAGAACTATATTTTTTCCATGTACTAATTTGTATTTTCATTTAACAAACAGTTTGTGAAATTAGTTTTTTTGTCAAAAAATGAATAGGCAGCAATCCACTCCTAGTTCTGTAATAGGCTGGGACACTTGGTTAAAATAATACATTTATGCATTTACAACATTAATTTCCTGATTTCTAAAAATAAATATCTGGAAATTAAGCTTTGCTCGGGGGAAAACAGTTTGTATATTCTAAGATAAGTCTTTGCTAATAGTATCACAGACAAATAGAATAAATATTTATTTTATTTGTCTATGTTTATCACATGCTTGTATGTAGTTTACTTCTAATTTCGTTTGTGTACAAACTGTTTTAACTTTTATTATCATCTATGATAATATGTTTACACCTTTTCTCACCAACTTATCCAAGTGCAAAGCGAATGTTGATATTTTAATCATTTTTTAACTAGATTGATGTTTAGAAAAAAAAAAAAAAAAAAAAACAACAGTTTGTAAATTCTCTACCATAAAACAACACCTATGAAAGAATAAATTTAAATCCCATCCATATTTACCAGCTGTAGCCAATTTTTAATAAAAAAGAACGTAGTTGTGTGAGCCAGTCACAGAATGCGCTAGTGTCTAAAATTCTAATTTTACACCTTATTTTGTGTTGTTGACCAGGTTGATGGGTCATAATAGTTGCTATGATTCATCGTAAGTCATTCCCTAAGTTTGACTTGGTATTCAAGTTTTTGTATTTGACATATTTAGTAATTTAGATCAGCGCAATCTGTAGGAGGCTCACATCAACTACGACGATTTTGAAAAAAAATCTGGCTACAAATTTAACATGGGGATGGAATGTCTAACATTATTCACATTATGTGTAAATTCATAAACCACGTGAATACCCACATAGTCAATAGAAAGGCCTTTTTAATAGAATAACTAATAACAAAGCAAAAAATTTTCTTATAAGAAAACTTAAAATGGGAAAGGATGTACAGTAAGAGGTTGAGCCTTTGGTCATTTTACGAGTTGATTGATTCTGCTCATGGATAGCATCTGTGTTGCATTTACTCTGGATTTTCTTGTAACAATGTAGGGTAACTTTCAGCACTAGGATATTAAAAGTAGTTTAGTGGATTTACTCCTAACCAACAAATAATTTAATTTTTACCATTTAACTGCCTAAAGCTTTGAATATGGGCACAGAAACTAGTAACAAATAAAGTGACACTATTTGTATGTATATTTTTGACGATTCATGTTTTTTATTGTTTGTAATAACTTTTGAGCTCGGGATTGCAGGTCGTACTTAACTGCAATTATATTACTTAAATATTTTTCATGATTAGTTCTATAGTTAAACATTCACTGTAAATATTTTTAAAATGTTCTAAAACTTAACTTAATACGTGTTTAAACAAATATATTTATTTATCTTTTGCTTGATGAAGGACAAACTAACTGTACGAATGCAAGAACTAATTGACCCCTAGAAAACGCTATAATCGTAGTAAATTGGGCCAACCGCCCAATATTTTTTGACAATTGATAATTGACTGTTGACAGTTGACATTGACTTTGGTAGTCTTTGACTATTGACTGTTTGTCGGTCTGTGTGTAAGGCGCCGGCAGTCTCTGAAGGCTTACAACTGACTATCGATTTCTTCTGTTCGTGCCTTTAGTTGTTTCCGATCACTATATCAACTCCTGCTAGTCTAGACTGTAGAAACATAAGTCAATGATTAAACATAATTTCTTATCTTCATGAAGAAGTGGTAATAATTTGCGTATAATTTGGAAATAAACACTTCATCCTTAAACGCACTTTTGTAAATTTACTTTATAATATGGGAGAACGTTTATTTGAAATTAACGCATTCAAACATAGCCTACACGAACCACACAGAAAGCTTTGGATTGTAGGCATACTATAGGACTACTATCGAACCTCCAAACCATCTATTTGTAAACTATTGATCATCGTCTAGGACTATGATCAAAGAGCGTACTATAACATGTAGGCCTAAATAAGAGGAAAAAATATATTTGCCAACAATGCATTAACAAGTAACCGGAAAAGAAACATACATCAAACAAGCTTTACATTTGACAAGGTTTACTTCACATCTGGAAAGTTTACTTACAATGTTTGGTTAGTATAAAAACTCATGTTTATGTTTTTTGCGTACGTGTTTTTTTTTCTTTACACAACACTCTGTTACCCACGGGCTTCACCCTGTTTGACTTTATAAGTATCAATAAAACTATTGATTGGTTAAGTTAAGATGAAATAAACAAAACAGAATACAGTAATACAAACAAATAGTCACACCTTATTTTGATAAGGTAATAAATTGAAAGAATAACATACAAATAAGTACGGCTGAGGTGTTTTTAACATTAGGTATATGGAAAGTTCCCTTTAGAAAGGAATTACTACCTTAAAAAAAGGGCAATTTATGAAAACAATGGATAGTTTTGCGCAAGGTTTCTCGTCATGACGAACATTTTAAGTATATATGGTTTATTGGGGTGTGACTTGAAGTTTTCTCAAAAGTTCATGGTCACTTTGGGATTTATGTATAGATTACCTTTATATGTAAATTTGTGTACTCCCTACTCACTCGAACTTTCTTTACATTAGAATGCCAACCGCATGGTAAAAAGCATTACCGGTAAGTGTTTTGAGAGAGCTTTGCCTGTCAATCGTAGGCAGCGCCACCAGCGTTGCTATGATGAGTGCATGGCAACGCTGGTGGCGCTGCCTACGATTGACAGGCAAAGCTTTTTACCACGCGGTTGGCATGACATTCTGGGTTATAGTAATATGTTTTCTGTGATTATGGTTAGGACTTATTACAGTTAGTATGGTAGGCAAATAAGTAGGCCTGCAGCAGAACATAAATTTACTGTCTATCATAAATAAGTTATTCGGAATTTGCTTTGGAAGTTTGAATATTATTTTTAAAAGCACTGATAAAATAACGTTATAAACTTGTTACGAATGCGAACAATACAAACGAGTAACAAACCACTGACAGTTATATTTAGAATTTTCGAAGTCACTTGAGCTAAGCGACTGCAACAATGAAAATTATGTTCACCGTAAACAATGGTTGAAATCTATTGTTGTTCAAATGTTAAAACCTAACGAATGAATCAGGTGATTCGTTGGTTCCTCAAAAAGCCGAAAACATTCTAGAATGGTGCAAAAACAAACTGTTGTTGTTTACGTAAACGTAGCAGTGATGAGGGGAGTGACGTTGTTTGCCGGAGTTAATGAAGTTTTGAAATGAGCATGATCAAAGCTACTGGTTTTAATTTGGTACTTAGAAGCCTATAAGGTCCAATCACTGGTGTCGACCCGCTAATAAAACATTAGTTTGGTAGTAAATTAATTGTTCAACATTATCATGTATACGGCAGCAAAATACCTCAAATTTAGTTGTACTTGCAGCGAACGTGTCTATACACGAATGTTTGCAATATTTTTAAAATCTGTTAAAAATCGTATTTTGTTTTTTTAGTATAGAAAAGATGTTTCGTCAAGTAAAATAACATAATATGATCATGTGAAAAGTATTTTTTTAAATCTTATCTTAAAATCTGAAATATTTTTCTATTTTGCAAATATGCAAGATAAATTAATAATGATGGTATTCTACAATTTTAATATTATTGCCTCAAAAAAAACATTGGCTCAACCTAAATACAAATTGATGTGTAAACCTAAATCAATAATATGCTTACTGGTCTAATAGTAAATTTATTTTTGGGACAACTTACTACGGTATTTAGATATGTTACGGAAATGTTATACATACCACGAATACTTGAACTGAACCGGTATGGATTATAAACAAAAACGAATTATGTAGTTGGCCCAAATCCTATACTAATAGCATTAACATATGATTTCGACCATTCCATTTTTTTAGCAATGTTAAATTATGTTTATTTTCGGTACGGTAACGTCGTTTGTTTATGTTTATGATCCATACCGGTTCTGTTCAAGTATTCGTGATACATACATAATAGTTGTCGTATTGTCGTTATTTTACAAAAGGGGATTATTTCAATGTGCAAAAATCTCCTACAATAAAGGACTATTTTCACTATCCATTCACCTTTTAGGATCGAGAAACGCGTGGGTATCCCAAGTTCTTTGATCATGAAAGGGAAAGGGCGAGCGACCTGGTGGAAAATTTGATCATTACTTCAAAGAACTGTTAATAGCACAGCTGTGGTGTTCATGTGTTCAATGGTTAACAATCCTATTCGTATATCTTGTAGGTTGAAACATTTTGGAGACTGTGTATATTTTTGGGCGATCATCTATATATATAAAAGGCAAAGCCCTCACTGACTGACTCACTCACTCACTCACTCATCACTAATTCTCCCACTTCCCATTTACCTAGGAGGCTGAAATTTGGTACACTGATTCTTTAGGCATTAAATAGGCAAACTAGTTAGTAGG